CAAAGGGTCTTCAAATATTTAGCACAGAAATGAGCACAAGGATGCCAGAGCATTCTTGAGTCTGTGGTGAAAGCAGTTGAAATGTTCACATGAAGCTATAGCAATGTTCACATAGTGGCTTCCCACAGAGTGGCAGGAAGCATCCTATTGGTTGAGCTAGATAAGTTCATAATTTACAGGATGTTCAGCAGATCTTGTAAGTTAGGCAAGGAAACTGAGAAGAGTGAAATTCAAATATATAGTTGATTTGATAGTTATAGCCTGAACTAGGTACAAGCTGCAGACAGACCATTACGCAATCAGCTGTACTTTCTGATGAATTACCAATGTTCTACAGGAACATTATTCCTGTAAACTACAGGGGAACCTGTGGTCACCATAATTCAAAAATTAGTTCAATTAAATTCTCGTTGAATGGTTTGTTATAATGTAATGGTTGTGAGACTGTATGGTGCAGCTTCTGATATAACTAGGAGAATGAGTATCACAGCAAACACCGTGATTATTTGACTCTTAAACCATTTCTGCCCCCTCTTGCTCAATTGTTCTATAGGTGTATCTTTTGGGACTAAGGTCTATAACTCTACATTTTAATTGGATGTGTGCTGAGAGACATTTCATTATGAAAGCTGCTAGATTAAACCAACATGCATATTTTAAAAATATCTTGACCTGAAATTTAAGTCAAAAGATATGCTACTTTAAAGAAAAGTTTTTGCTTTTGTTCCCACAGGGAATGAGAGGCTGTGGGTTCATTCTGTGTTAAAAAAAAATATGGTTTGATTGAGAATGACTCCCTGAAAAATCTCTGATGGAAATGAATGACACAGATGATTCAATGATTGAGAGCACCTCTGTTGCAGTTTCCTCTGTGTTCTACATGCAGAACAGCTTCAAGACTGCTGGCTGACATGATCTAGACTCACAGAGTACTCCAGTAAGGACTGAAATAAATTCCTAAATTTTCATAGGGTCTCCAAAAGATTACCAGTGACTCCAATAAGCAGAAAGTAGTCTAAAAAACTACATCCACATTGCCTAAAAATTGACTATAGATGTTTGTTATCCTTTAAGGGGTTGTTACGTGTTGTTATTGGAAATAGAAAAAAAAGCTGAACAAAAGATATTAGATTCAAAGATCTTTTCTAAAAAGAAAAAGTGGTGGTATGGAAATTATAGGATAAATGGGGAGATTATCTAATCAAAAAAACAGCTATTAATCTTAAATATTTTGCATTAATATGGATTTTGACTTATTGATAAAATTTAAAGATAATTTTATTATATTGTATGTATATCATACTCTTGTTTGAGGTTTATGTTTATACAGCTCATTTAAAAATATAATATATAATTAAGAAATACAGGTTAATAGTAATCTATCATAGTCAACATTATAGTCATATTAGGCATGTTTTTAAGGTCATACATAGATATGTTTAGATAGATGGTCTTAAAACACTTCAACAATATACATAATATGACATTTAATATGTTTAACTACTTAAGGATTTAATGACAGTGAGACACTTCTATGCCTGGCAGCACCAATCTACTTCAGAGATAATGGGCATCAAAGAAACTACAAGTGGAGTTTGTTTTCTTTATGGCAAAATATAGCCATATGATGAAAGAAACTGCCCTTACCCTAATTGATGACAGCTATTGTACAAACTGGGCAAGCAGAAAAAAATGAGGGAACTGCAAAACTTTACCAAGGTAGAATAGCCCTTCAGAATTTACTGCTTCACAGGAAATTGTGTCTGATATACTAGGCCTGTAGGCAAAAGATGCATGACTGAACGTTACTGAAGAACTTTGGTTTCAGACAGTGAGATGTTCCTGTTGTTACGTAAGTTTTCACCCTTCTGGGGTCTTTGATGAAGTTGGAGACTAAATAGTTATAATAGTTTTCCTTATTTATAATAGAAAGTAACTTAAATTCAAAACTTTAGACTCACTAATACAGATAATAGAATGTTTTTGCTAGTTTGCAAAATACAAATATATTGGATACTCTAATTGTAATTCTTACTTGATAACTGATTTTGTTATATAAAATTTTACTTTGTTAAAGGTAAAAAATTTACTTTTTAATTAGATAAAAAAAGGGGGAGTGCTGTGAAATGATCCTCTTGTACACTATAAAGATTTATCACTCATATTGGCTTTAAAAAACTCTTCATTTGCCAGTAGTCAGGCAGGAAGTGACCAAACTAAAGATACTGGGGTTGGGAAGGTTGGAGTCAGTACTCAGCAGCCTGGGATGAAGATAGAAGAGTGAAATGTTTCATAATCTAGCACTGAGAAGTGGCAGTTGATTTTTAAATGAGAGACAGGAAAAATCAAATTTCATATTTTTTTAGAAATATATAGAAGCACACAGACATGTGACAGAGGTCTCAGAAGATTTGGTATCAAGGACGATGGTTCTAGGTTTACTGCTGATCTATGTGGAGATAATGGTAACATGACCTCAAAAGTGTGAAGGCACAGGGACTAATCAGAGTCAACATAGAGGAGGCATTGGTCATGTCCATAGCATTTGGCCAAGAGAATACAGTATTTTCATTTTAGGTTAGTTCAAGGATCATTCTTATATGAAAAGCATGACAACTCAGCAGGGTTGCACAGGCAGTTCCAAGCAGTGTGTGTACATGTATTACAATACATAAATCACTTTATATTAATGCAATGTTATTGGAAACTCACCTTCTGCTGAACACGATTCAATTATTCGAGACAAGGTATTAAGATCATGTATGTCTTTTGATGACTTTAGAACCTATAAGATAAACAATACTGTCTACAAAGGGGATAATTCATCCTCTTTTATAATCAGAGAAAAACATACCTTTTGAAATTACCAATTTGCAAGGCATTTTACAATAGCTACCTTCTTAAACATTCAAATATACTATATTTAAACAAAAAGTTCTATAGATTTTACCCTTCTTTTTCAGACTCTTCTTTTTCTGTATTTTAGGCTTGCCTGGAACCTATAAATGAGTTCAGGTTAGTCAGGATCTCATGGCAATCCTCCAGCTTCAGTCTCGTGACTGCAGAGACTCCAGGGAAGTGTCATTACAATCAACATTATCTAATTTTGCAATTAAATATTGTTGTTTTGTAATATATTCCTGTCTTTCATAAAATATATTGAACAAATTAACACCTCTTTATACAATACCTTAATTTTTTCTTTAGGTTTGTTCTTTTTGTCCCTACAAATAGAAAACATTTTTAGGTAACATTAACACATAAAAAAGCTAATATCTAAAATGATTAGGTATTCACAGAAGATGCCTTATAACTAGTTATGCCATTTGTAAAGTTTGTTTATATATATATATGTATATATAATCACATAGTATCTTCTATAAGTACAATTTAGTAATAAATAGAATAAAAAATGGAAAATAATTTCGGTGTTAATAAAATTATAAAAAATTAATTTTGATAAATTTTCTGACAGTTAAAACGAAGCAACCATAGCAGTATGTATACTATTAAATATGAATTATTACATCAAGTTTATTCTTATTTTATTTTTAATGATCTTATTTTTGAATTTATATATGTACATTATTTATTCCTTCAATATTCTTTCAAACCCTCCCCTATGGCTATTTTTATATTGTTACAAATTTATTGAATTTTTTTATCATTGTCCATTCATGCATATGTATATATATGAAATATGCAATTATTTTTAATATATAATTTTTGAAAGATTGCATGGTATCATGGGAGCTACTTCTCAATGAATTCCAGCTTAGGAGCATCTGGGCCCTGCATTTTGAAGTGCATGGTGCCTTCAGCAATAGAAACTTACGTCTCGGCAGCAATCAAATGCAATAGCAATAGTCATTTTAATATTTTAAAGACTATTAGTCTGTAAGATTCCTTGGGCAAATTCTGATCAACACCTTAAAAGAGGGCATCTCATGCATGATCTTGGGGTTTTTGTTAGGAATTCTTTGGCTCATATTCCATTATTCCCTTCCTTATTCCTCCCCAATCCTCCTGCCCTGCCAACAGTCCTAATTTATTTTCATGTTTCTGAAATTACTATAGGATATATACTTACAACTGAACCCCAGATGGGAGGGAACATGCATGGGCCCCTACTGCTGGAGACATCTCACACTTAGGACAAGTATCCAGAAAACAACAACAACAACAACAACAACAACAAAAAACTCCCTTGTTTTCTTGTGCATGCATCTACAAACACATTCAAAGCCTGTATATTGAACATTCCTCAACTATGTTTAATATGTATCACATATATGTGCACCTTTTCTATTTTGCCTGTGATATACTATATTGGTTATCAGAATGTTTGTGGTTATGCTTAAAAACATTTTTCCATTCTGAAAGAGCCCATCCTCAAAGTGAAATTGTTAGATCAAAGTTGTGATATTTTTTAAATGAATCACTGTTACCATATTATGGATTAAAACTGATATACATACTGGTTTCCAAATTTCTTTTGCCTCATATTTGACACCCAGGTTATAATATTTTAAACAAAATTCATCAATATTGATGGTATACAATATTACCTGTTATTTGCCCTGGTTTGCTTGTTGGTTGTCCAAGATTATCCCTAGCCAACCCTCACATTAGGCATGGAAATTATCAAGAAGTGGAATTAATGTACAGGGCAGGAACAATACCTCAGTTGAGTTCTTCCTAGCCTTACCCATCATGTTTCTCTGTCTCCTCAACAGCAGGTTGTGGCTTTCTAGCTTCTACATAGTTTCTCTGTGGAATAAATATTTTTGTAACAGCAGTAGTGGGTGCAGGAGAAGGAGCACTGGGAAGATCTGCTACTGCAACAGAAATAGCAGCAGTAGTTACAGCAGGAGTGCCTGGAAAAAACTAAAGCAGCGGTTAGCAGCAGCAAAAGCAGCAGCAACAGGAAGAGACACAGCAGCATGAGTAGCAAACGCAGCAGCAGCAGTAGCTGCAGCAACAGTAAAAGGGGCTACAGCTTATGTGGTAACAGGAGGAGGAACACAAGAAGCTACAGCAGCAGCAACAAAAGCAACGAAGGCAGCTGCTGCAGCGGGACCAGTAGTAGCAGCAACGGCAGCAACAGCAGAAGCCACAGGAGCAACAGTGGAAGCATCAGAACCAGCTGCTGCAGTAACAGCAGCTGCAACCACTGCTGCAACAGAAGCAGAATCAACAGTAAGAGAAGTAGCAGTCACAAAAGCCACAGTAACAGTGGTAGTGGCAGTGGCAGCTGCGGCAGCAGCAAGAGCCGTGCTGGGGTCTGGAGCAGCCACCACCGCAGCAGCAGCAGGAACAGCAGCTGCAGTTACAGTAGCCACAGGAACAGAACTGTCAGGTGCAGCACCAGGAGCAACAGCAGCGAGAGCGTTAACATTTCAGCGGCAGAAGCAGCAGCTGCAACAGCAGGAGCAATAGCAGCCATAATGGCAGCTACTGCAGCAGAGGCAGCAGTGGCTGCTTCAGTGGGAGTAGCCTCAGCAACAACTGCTGCAGAAACAATAGCAGCCACAATAGTAGCCCCAGAAACATCAGGAGTCGCAGATGCTTCTGTCCCTTCAGAGGCATGTACTGCATCTTCTGTTTCACTGCTTCTATGATTCTTCCTGTTGGCTGTAACCTTTAATTGAGAGTTGGATACTAAAGTTAACCATTTTTAATACCACAAAGCTGTTTTCCCCAATGGTCTTTATGAGTTGACTCTTGCATATTAAGAATTTACTTCATAAAATTTTTATGTGTTCAGTTTGTCTTAAGAGATCATGGAAAGTTTGGAGAATTCTGTTTCATTTATTTCTACGTGAAAAGATATTTTTCTTTTATCTTTTAAATTTTAAATGGGACGGTCTTCATTTGGAGCTTTTTCTTTCATATACGCATTTCTAACTCATATTTCTAATTTCTATATAGCTGTTATAAAAGAAACACTCTGCTAGTGACATATAGCATTGAAAGTCACTTTTAGAATTGTGACTTTTGGTTCTTCTACAACATGTGGGGGGGGGGAGGCTCCTCTATCCGCACTAAGATAGTTCTCATACAGCCTTTTATGATTCTTCCTTTTTCTTGGGCCACCTAAATGTGAAGGTGCTCACAAAAAGAAACCAGGTTTGCCCAAAGAAAGTAACACAGTGGAACTTCAGACCTCTGAGTATGTTAATTTGGAATAATTGGAAAATGTAAGACGATTTCCAAATTTCACATTCATCCACCATAAAATTTGGCAACTATAAGAAATATTATCACATATGTTATCTTCAGATTCACTTATAGAATTCAGCAACGTATCCACTTTAGTTAAACAGTGGCGCTGACAAAGTGGATGTCTTTGAGGAAAGTGGTGAACCTAACAAAATTTTACTCTTAGGCATGTCTCTGAAACCCAAGGGCAAAGAGCAACTGGAGCTCATGGAATTCCAGAGAAGAGGAGGAGAAAGGACAGTAGGAGTCAGGGGGTTCAAGGACACCACAAGAACAACCTCGGTATCAATTAACCTGGGATCCCAGGGGCTCAAAGATGGGATTGACCTAGGCACACTGCATATGTTAAGTTGTGTACTTGACCCTCATGTGGAATCTCTAAAAGTGGCATCAAGGGCTCTCTCTGACTCTTTTACTGGCTTTTGGGATGCTGTTCCTCTGCCCACCCTAAACACGTGGTGGGAGTGAGGGTGGTGTTTAGTCTTACTGCAACTTGATGTCATGTTTGCGGATATCAATGGAGACCTGCCTTTTACTCAACAGAAACAGGGTAGGAGTGGATTAGGGGATAAAAGCAGAAGAAGAGGGAGGGGAGGGACTGGAAGGAGAGAAAGGAGGGAAAACTGCAACCAGATTGCAAAATTAATTCATTAATTATAAAAAAGAATGCCTCTATATTTTTTTAACTGGCCTTAATTCAATATGCCTCACAACTCAGTTTTGGACTTACTTAATTTATAAACATGATACACAGTAAAAAAAAGTTAATTAAATCTATTTGATAATAATTACATGTTACCTACTTTAAAGTTTGTTGCTTCTATCCTAACATTAATTATAGGTCTTCTAGAAGGAAACATTTATCATTTAAGGATATTTATAGTAGAGTATTCAATAGATAAGTTTAAAAACATAATGCTATTTGCTCTATGTTACATTTTTTGCAATTTTTTATTATATATACAATATTCTGCCTGCATGTATGCTTGGATGCCAGAAGAGACCAGATCTCATTGCAGATGGTTGTGAGTCACCATGTGGTTGCTGGGAATTGAACTCAGGACCTCTGAAAGAGCAGTCAGTGCTCTTAACATCTAAGCCATCTCTTCAGCCAGCTAAATTGTTTTTTAATAAAAGAATTGTAATAACAGTCTTTTAAATTTAAATATTTCCATAGCAATGGCTGCTTAGTTTTACTGTCATCACACATATCTTGATCATCTTCCAATACCACTGTTCATAACAAATAAATGTACTTAGTTATGCTGCGAACATTAAAGAGAAAACACAGATTGTATGTCTAATAGCCATAAATTTTCAAATCTGCAATAAAAAATACTATTTTTATTTTCCCATTTGAGAATTTCAATTCAATTCATTTATCTTTACCTGAAATTTTATTCAAGGAGGTATTTAAACTTCAATATAGTCCTTTGACAGATATCAATTTTTTTTTTTTTTTTAGTTTTAGGCAAAAGAATTAGAAGGCTTAGCCACAATTGCATTCTGATCCTTAAGACACATACCTGAGCTCAGGTAGCTAATCTGACACTGGGTATCTTAATGGCACTTCAAGGCAACAAAAGCCATGTATGTCAATCCCAATCCTGGCTGCTCTAGGGCCATGAGCCCAGCCATGCATAGCCCTCTGCAGCATCCTGGGCACAAATGCTCTCCCTCACCCCATGGGAGAGCACAGGACACCCATATTTCTATGGGTCCTGCTGTGGCATGACTTCCACACTCCCAACATAGCCACAGGCTCCAGCCAAGATCCTGTCCCTCTGTATAAGCCTTAGTGGCAACCTGGGCCACAAATATCAACAGAGACCTCAGTTGCATATAGGTCTCACTTTCACGTAACAAATCTGCTTGGTCAATATCCTAGTTCCAAGTGGTAGTACTGTCCACTCAGATCAGGATGGCTGACACATTTTGCTGTTGTTTTCTCTGTGTCTTTATGTATTCCTTGTGCTTTGATTCTCCCTTGTTTTGTCCTGTACATATTTGTTTGTTTTGTTTTTATATTATTTAATACTATTTAGTTTTCTATATTTTCTAGATGCCCTTTTAATATAGAAAACTGAATAATAAAAAAAAACACATACAGGTTTTTCTAACCCTCACCCTAAAGGTGGTGCACACCTTTAATCCCAGCTCTCAGGTTTGGTCTACAAGCTAGTTTCCAGGACAGGCTCCAGAGCTACAGAGAAACCCTGCCTCAGAAAGAGAGAGAGAGAGAGAGAGAGAGAGAGAGAGAGAGAGAGAGAGAGAGAGAGAGAGAGAGAACAAGAAAGGATGCTGATAGCTTTATGGAGAAGTCTGGGAATAGTTGGTGTAAGGGTAATCCTAATCAGAATATATTATTGATAAATCTATTTCAATAAAAAATGAAGATATGAAGGGATCTTGCTATGTACTTAGGTTGTCTTCAAACACCTGTAGAGGTCTGTCCTCAGTATAATAAGTGCACAGAAATAAAAATGAGTGAGATAGTGACCATCTTTTCTATTATCATTTTGAAAGAATGGGAAATACTACGTTTTTTTATAATTAACCCCACAATACCTCTGAACAAATGTGGAATTTTCCTGGGAATGTTAGGGTGAAAAAACATAGATGTAGAAATACCTAAAGAACAATTCATTTATTAAACATTTGCATAATATTGTAAATGCTTCTTTAACTATTGGTGAGACTGTGATATTTTCATTAATTAGGATGACTCCTTCTGTCACATTGGGTTGAAATGAAATAAAACCAATAACACCACACCAATTTCAGGCATTTTGAAATGCTTTTTTTTTTAGAATAATTTGGGAAGTTACCTGACTTGAATATTTGTATTTCTTTTCCTTCAAATTTTGTATTTTCTTCATTGTCTTTTACTTCAGTGGAATCCTGGATGGAATTTGAAACAAAACACTCAGTAATTGATTCATATTTCATAAAATATGATGGAAGTTTTATGGGGGAAATGAAATTACCTACCTTTTTTGGGCAATATATCTTGTGAGATTCTAAAACAAATCAAGGAAAAATATAGTAATTTACTTGTAAAAACGACTATCCTATATCTATACAAAGAAATTATATAGGTCGTCCATTGTAATTCATTTGTAAATGATTACTTTAGATTTTGATTTGGGAGGATAATGTTTCTTGTTTGCTTTAGAGAATATGGTTTTAATCAACTGGAAATATTGATAAATGTAACTGAAGTAGAAGAGAAACATATACTATCTTGAACTGTTGATTAATAGAGACAAACATGCTTTTTAAAGGATCAAATCATAATCCTGAGACTTGCCTTGACTGTCAATGAATAAACAAACACAAGGTAAATGTGTATTTCTTTAATGGAACCCTTCACAGATAATTATTTTATGAAATTCTAAAACTGAATCAATCACTTCTGTTCATTTGTAATTTAGGAATTGAAAACTGATGCCAATATGCTGAAAGAAAAACTATTAGTTATACACAAAAGTTTTGTGGATGAATAAGCCTCTGTGTACAATTGTAAAAGCTAAGTTATAAAACATTCACACTTACGTATAATAGTTATGACTACATGTTCCCAAATATTCCCATGAATTCTTTTTGAGTAACTTGAATGAGAAGGAGTATAAACTATAAACTAGGTATAATATTATCCTCTAGTATTGATGCAAGGTTATTTAAAGCAAACACAAATTGTATTTCTAATTAAATATTGCATATTAACTTGCTACAGGTTAAGTAGGTCTGCGAGTATTCAAGGAAGATATTCTATAATAATTTCTTAAAATCATTATACATTAGTTTGGAATAACACTTTTATACTGAAAATCACTTATGGTAAGTCTTTTTCTCCATGTAATTTAGGATGTCTGCAGTTGTCATTCATGTGCTGATTATGTTTAGGTAGCCATGTTGGTGAGACTCCCATCAGTTTTAAAGAGAGCAAGAGAGAGGTGGTAATGGTACCTAAGTCAGACTGAGCAGGTTTTCATTCTTGCCTTTTTGTGGATGGCTTCCCTGCCTGCAATGACACCTGCAGGAACCCCCTCACCCAACAATTTACAAAGCTTATGGGTCCTGGAGATGAGATTGGCATGAACATTATTATCATGGTTCACAAAGGCTGTTCCCTGACATTTCACACTTGTTTACCAATGACCTGGATTCATGATGTGAGACCTGTAGGGTGCTAAAGGTGTTTCTGGAGAATAGGATCCACAGCGGGGCTATCCATAAGGAGCATGCCAACTACAAGACCTTTGCCAGCATGTACTTGGTTTATGAACTCAAGTACCAGGGCCACAGTGGGTCTATATTGCCAGTAAGAATTTGTAACAGCCTCAGTTCCTCTACTTGTTCAGTTGTACTTATTATACTTCTTGGAATATAACCTTGTGCTCATCCTTACCAGGCACTACAAACTGAAGTGTAAAAACTCTCTAGTGTCACAACATTTCTGGGTCTCTCCATAACTACACCATGAAATTATTTCCAACTCTGTTATTTTGACATATATGATGCTATCTTTTAAAATAGCAGCATTTTAAATAACATTTCTATGTGCATGGCCGACTCAATATGTTAACATATGTCTATGGTAAGTAAAGCACAGCTGTGCAGGACCATGATCTCAGTGCTTAGCAAGGCTCCAAAAGAACAACATAAAGAAGACAGAAAAATTCGAAATATTTGTTTTCAAATATGTGCTTTAAAACATGATTTATATACTTTGCACATTTATTGCTTCCATCATTTTTTCCAGAAAAGGAAACACTATTTATTTTCACCTTTCCATTGTTTGTATTTGTCAAACTACCTTTCATGGTCTCCCAGTACCCTCTATTTTCTTAATCTCCAATTTTCTTTATTTTTTCTAACTACTTAGTTTACTAAATCTTGCAGATTAATAATACTTTGTTACAGATTTATATTTCACATCCTATCTTAATCATAAATGTGGAATGTCGCTGAAACTTTGTAAGATACTTATCTTGTTATCATATTGTACACATTATTTTTTACCATGCATTTGATAGCCATCTCTGGGCTCATAAATATATAGTTCACCATGACTTGAAAACAAAACAACTAAGGGGAAAAAAGCAAACAAACCACAAAAATGCATTTTTGAAATATTGACAACATGTAACTCTTACCTTTCCCTTGTCTACTTATAATATTTTCACGTCTTGGAACTAGTCCCTTCAAAAACTGATGCATTTGCCTTGATGGAAGATGCTTCACATTATCCTGGTAAAAACAAATACCAAAATGAGTTACACAAGATTTTCCCATTACTTTATAGGAAAAATTAAACTACTATTTTAAAAACAAGAATTTCAATATTTCTTAGTTAAATGTAAGTATATTATTTCAAAATATATTCAAAAATAACATATGCTATCTACATCAAGTACATGATTAAACTGGTATTTAAGAGAAATGTAAACATGACATTGATGACAATGCCTGGTCCAAAGATTATTCAGCATCAAATGAA